AGAATCAAATCAATCAAATCCATCAAACCGAACTAACCGATCAAACTAAACCGATCAAAACCATCAAACCCATCAATCCGATCAAATCAATCGACTCTAACAAAACAATCCAATCGATCAAGACGATCAAATCAATCAAACAAATCAAACCAATCATGTCGAACCAATCAGATCAAGCAAGTCAGTCAAAACAATCAAATGAATCAAACCAAACAAATTGATCGAATCAATCGGATCACTCAAACCAAACAAACCAATCAAATCAACCAAATCAATCAAACCACTCAAATCACCCGCATTGCTCGAATCACTCAACTCACCCAAATCACGCAGATCACTCAAATCACTCATACACTGAATCAACTCAACTCACCCAAAACGTTCAAATCACTCCACTGGGTCAAACAAATTCAAACAAATCAAATCAATCAAAATGAGAAGGATCAAACGAAGGCACATAAAACCAAATGAAATCTAATGAAATCAAATCAATCAAATGCAATCAAATCAAATAGACTAATCAGATCATCCAACACAGTCCAATCAATTAATCATTCACTCAACCAACCAACCAACCAATCAATCAAACAACCAATCAATCACTCAATCAATCAACCACTCAATCAAACAATCAATCAATCAATCAATCAATCAATCAACCAACCAACCAACCAACCGATCAACCGATCAAATCAATCAATCAATCAATCAATCAATCAATCAATCAATCAATCAATCAATCAATCAATCAATCAATCAATCAATCAGTCAAGCAATCCATCAAGCATTCAATGCATCAAACAATCCATCAACGAATCAGCCAATCGTTCAACCAATCGGGTGATCAATCGATCAATCAGTCGATAGACCGATGGATCCATCAATCAATCAATCAATCAACCAACCACTCAATCAAACAATCAATCAATCAATCAATCAATCAATCAACCAACCAACCAACCAACCGATCAACCGATCAACCAATCAACCAATCAATCAATCAATCAAGCAATCAATCAATCAATCAAGCAAGCAGGCAAGCAATCAATCAAGCAATCAATCCATCGATCCATCGATCCATCGATCCGTCAATCAAGCAATCAATCAAACAATCAATCAATCAATCAATCAATCAATCAATCAATCAATCAATCAATCAATCAAATCAATCAATCAAATCAAATCAAATCAAATCAAATCAAATCAAATCAAATCAAATCAATCAATCAATCAATCAATTAATCAATCAATCAAATCAATCACGCAATCAGCAATCAAGCAATCAAACAACCAACAAATCAATCAGTCAATCTGTCAATCTGTCAATCAGTTAATCAGTCTATCAGTCAATCAGTCAATCAGTCAATCAGTGAATCAATCAATCAATCAATCAATCAATCAATCAATCAATCAATCAATCAATCAATCAATCAATCAATCAATCAATCAATCAATCAGCCAACCAACCAACCAACCGACCGACCGACCGACCGACCGACCAACCAACCAACCAACCAATCAATCAATCAATCAATCAGTCAAAGGAACAAACAATGCAATCAATCCAACCAATCCAATCAACCCAATCAACCCGATGAAGGAAATCAATAAATCAATCAAGCCATGCAAATCAATAGAAAATGCATCAAGAAGAAAAAAGGCCATGCGGACCCGCTGCAAAGAAACGCGTGTAAAGAAGTGCCTTCGCACAAAGACATATTCGAAGAAATGCGTTCGCGAGAAGAAACGCATTCGCGGGCGTGCTCACAGGAAAAAACCTGTTCGCGGCAAGGAGGGTGCTGCAAAGGGAGTGCAATGATGTATAGGACCGAGTTTCTGCAGAAAGGTGCAGGCCAAAGAGGCTGCTAAGCAGGCTGGCCAATGGTAAGCGCGCAAAAGCGTGGCATCCTAGGCATCGCGCCGGCCATAGTTTGGAGGCTGCAAAGGTGATGCTGGGTGGCATGTGCTCGGTGGCTGCAATAGCACAGGCACTGGCAACAGCTGGGCTGAGCGCAAAACTGCAAAATCAAGCTAAGAAATGCGATCGTAAGGACCTATATGGAGCCTAAGAAACTTGCAGGATGAACTCATGGAAATTGAACAAGTCAGCTCAAATTCAATTTCAAAACAAAAATAAGACTAAAGTCAAATCAGAGCAAAACCTAATCATGTAAAATCAAATCGGAGTTCTTGGGATTTTGTTTTTTACTTTTACCGAAGAAAACTGAAAACGTAACTCCGTGAAGTAAAGCAGTGTTTTACTTTTGGCAGTTGTACTTGTTGACTTTTCAGCACTTCAAAGTTCTTGTGTTTTGCTTTTTACGTTCAGTTGGGAAAAGAAAAACTGTCAGATTCCCTCAAGTGAAACAACATTTACTTTGAGAGTCTCGCGTTTTCACTTTCCGTGGGGCCAGAAGGGTTCCCTGTTGCATTCTTGTCTTTACTTGAGAGATGGCCATTGTTGCATTTGTTTGAAATTATTTCAGCTTCAGCCCTTCCCCCCCCTCCCCTCGGTCCGCATCTCGCCCGTCGCGGGCGAATTTTTTTTCGGTCCAAGGCGCCGGGGCTCGCTGCGGTCCACCAGCGAGGAACCACGGAGGTTCAGCACCACGCCGCCGGACAGCGCCTTCTGCAGCACCCCAGGTGCCAGCCGGACCTGGAGCCGCAAAAGAAGGCCAAAGCCGAACAAACAACGAAAACCATTAAGGCCGACTTAGCAGGCAAAAGCAAAATTCGGAGAACCAAAGAAAAAACCAAACATGATGCAAGAACAAAGAAGTCAGGTTCCGCTCGTCTTCTGGGCCTTTCTGGCCTTACTCTCCCGAGAAACGGAAGGAACCCAACCCCATCCTTCACGCGGGGAGCAGACATTTTGTTGAAATCCTCTTGCCATCCTCTTGGACGTCTTGTACTGTGCTTTTCAGTATGCTCCTGAAAGCTGGCATGCAACCTGACCGCACCGAAACCATCTGGGAAGAACCCTGTTGGCAAGAACCACCTTGTGGTATGCGTCTTTTGAATCGTAGTTGTTTTGTGTGGTAGAATGGTTGATGTGATATTCATTTGGGACCCGCCGCAACCCCCCCCCATTCTTGGCCGTCCTGCCGGTTCTAGGAAGAGATGGTTCCCTGACGAATTACTCTGACAACAAGCAAGCTACATAAGCTGGTTGTACCGCCAGCCGACATGAGAGTTTGGGGAGAAAGTGCAAAGTTGGCGAGCACGCCCATGATGGTGGCTGCTGACAGTTGCTCAAATGGCCAATAAGACCCTACTTGCAAGGGGCTTGAGCAGGGTTATTGGCAGTTCCAGGGAGGTTGACTAGGAGACAAGGATCAGAATGGCAGTCGGGCATACCTCCAAGAGAAAGGCTACACTTTAATTGCGGGGAGCCTCCTGCACTGGCAAAGCTCGCCCAAACCAGGCATACTAAAGGAAGTATCTGTCTGGGACGCTCCTGAACATTCTCTTGACTGGCAACCGACCTCAGTCCGAAAACGAGCTGCAGACGCAAAGGAAACTGACGCATGAAACCAACTATTGTGCCAAATACCTTGGCTTGGGCGCATTCCTGAACTAACGCCCCCCCTTGCCCCTGCTTTTCCTTAAAACCAGCCAAAGCAAATCGTTAATGTAGAAGCACCCATCATCCATTCACTTTGGGCTCCAAACTAAACATGGATATGAATCTATGAAGTTTTAGATAGCCATTCTAGTCCCCATTACGATTTGGGAAACTACCCCAAGAAACGGGACATTAACATGTGGTCTGCGTCAGAATGGGTTTGTCTCAAAACCCTTCAAGCAACCACATCCAAATGAGCCACTGTCAAAAGATGCCTTGAAGGAGATGGACATCTTGTGAATTCTCTTGGGTTTTGTGAGGGATTTTTTTTTGAGTCCCCCAATGTTGATCGCAAGTCGACGGTGTTTCTACCTTTTAAAAATGGGAGGGGGGGGGCTTTGTAGTGGGGGCTTCGAAAAAGTCCGGACGCGCCTCAGGGTTGCGCAAACAAAATGCGCGTCAAAATCCAGCATCTCTCTGTGCTCCAACCCCCTTTGGATTCAAGAGGAACAGGGGGTTCAAATCCCCCACGGCCTGATCCCAACTCGCAGAGTACCAGGAAAGCTGTGTACCCTTCAGACTTCCAACCAAAAGGACATGGAGCTGTCCAACACTCGGGCGCTCTTAGAGCGGATTGGTTGTTTGCCCCTAGCAAGTAAGAATGTGGTCAAGTTGTTGGGGAAGCAGTCATTCCGAACTGTCGAAAGCGTCGAACCGAAGACCAAGGGACCCTTATCTTTGGCAGCCGCCCACATCGGGACGCACGAAGGCAAAGGCTGTGCCAATGTTCCCATGCCTATTAGGGAATCGACATAAGTTGACCGTGGCCTCCAGTAGCTTGTCGCCAATTTAGTAATTTGACCGTGGCTCGTATTAATAATGCAGAAGGGGTCGTCATGGGGGCTGAGTTTTTTCAGATTCCTGGGGGCTGAGTTTTTCAGATTCCTGGGGGCTGAGCTTTTTCAGGCAAAAAAACAAAAAACACAGCCCATCATCTGCATCTGCGAGTTCAGGGCCATGGGTCTGGTTTTTTGCTTTTTTGTTTTTGTTGGTGCCTTTGCTCATAAACACCAAGAAAACAAAAAACAAAAATCCGAAAAAAAAAACACAGCCCATCATCTGAAGACAATACTTTGTTGATGCTAAGCGTTCTTGATGCAAGACATCAATAATATGATGAGATGTGTAAAAAACAGAACATAAGCCTCTTCCAAGATATTCTGCAGGTAACTCCAGGTAACTGGAGATAATTTATCTCATCTCTCATTTCATCTTCTGCAGGTAACATCTCATCACAAGCAATTGCTTGTGGCTTGTGCCTACTTGAATCTATTCTGAACAGCTTTACTGTTGCAAGAGCTCTTCAGCAACACGAATAGCTGCAGAGAATGTTATTCCAAAGCTCTTATTCCAAAGCTGAACAGCTTTATGCAGAGAATGCTATTTGCATCTGCAGATATCGTTGCAGGTGCTCATCTTTGCATCTTGTGCTTCTTGAGCTCAAGCAACTAGATTGGAGCTGCGCTCCAATTGCTCCAGCTCATTATGCGATAAATATGTTTGTGTTAGCTGTCTTTTCTCAAGAGCATGGGCAGAGCCCATGCGTATATTGAAATATTGAACATCCAACTGTAAAAAGAGCTGAGTCTTGCAGCTGAAAGCTGCATAGATCAGCGATATCTTACGTTTCTTATGATTTCTTGTGCATGGCAAGCTGTGCTTGCCATACTTACGTGTTTCAGAATTGCAACACGACAATAATATTTGTCCCAAACATACATCTGCTTGCAGATTGCTAAGCATACGTCTTCCAAAATATTGCATACGTATGCAAATTGCGTTGAAGATTTGTGCCAAACATACGTCTTCCTAAAGTTAGCACCCTGAGGTTTATAAACTTGGCATGCGTAAGCATGCCAATTATCCAAAAATAAGCTACAGACACACGTTTGCTAAATGCGAAAGGGTTTGAAACAGTATTTCGGGAGAGAATAAACAGGCCCAATCCCACCAACAAGAAGAGACTGTTTAAACCCCCCAGTCCCAAGGGCAAAGTGGTGCCCTCGGCTGGCCAAACACGAACCAAAACAGGGTGCCAGTTGTAACAAGGTAAAGAAGCCCAGCAAGGGCAGAGACAACCGAAAGCAAGCACAAAGCAGCAAACCAAGCAGGCAAACAATGCAGCGAAGCAAGCAAAGCAAACCAGTGCGCACCAACCCCAACCAATACCCCCGACCAACCTCCGCCAAGGACACCACCACAGGCGCACGGCAACAGCACAACGTGCTGATGAAGTACACCACGTGCCGCGATGTTTTGGCGCCGAAATTGCGGGTGCGAGTCGACGGGTTGAAAAGCTTGAGCCAAATGCCGCGTTGGGCATTGGCATGAAATTAAACATGTTGCGATAAAAGTACATGCCCCCAAAAACACCCCCCTCGCCTGTACAAAGAGAAGGAGTGAATTTGGAAAGGCGCATTGGCCATGTTGGAGTTGAGTTACAATGAAAAGGAAACACGGAGGATTAAGTTACCAGGGTTCGCGACCCCATACCCGGGCTCACTTTGGAGCCCGGATCCCGCCACCACCCCGAATTACGGGTATGGGGCGGATTCGCGCCGGTAACCAAATCAACCAAAAAAAACAAAAGAAGGAAAGAGAACAAAGTTTCAACTCCATAATGGCAGGCATGAAATACACTACATTTGCTATGCAACCACAATGAACCGTAAGGTTCAAGTGGATTTGTTTTCTGAGTTCATGATTCAGGCGCTTTGGCCCACTGGTTGAAACGTGGTGCTTCGACCACAAGACCTGGGTCTTTAAAGTAGCACCGTCTAGGCGCGCGATCACGCAAAGACCTTCGATAGGAATACCACCGGCTGTCAGCAGCGGTTCAGGTCCGACTAGAACATCACCGTCAGCGGTGCGACGCATACGTGATCCTCACCTCAGCACCTTGATGAGTTCCATCACCAGCAGCTGCAGCGGTGCAGGATGATGCTGATCGCCAGCGGCCATAGACGCCGCCGAGGGTGACTGCCTTGCTGTGGCGACGTACACCTGACAGGTAATCGCAGCTGGCGCGAATAGCGCATAGCCACGCGTGCAGTCGAATTGTGAGATGGCGAATAGCCGAAACAGGGAAACACTACAAGGAGCATAGTCCTACCTGTGAATTCCGACTTGAGAACATACGCGCATTGGCGCAGTCATGTAATACACACGGACGGACTTCAGGTATCACTGATGTCGTCCGCCGCCGTGCCGTTCCTTCCCCTTGTTGACGTTCCAGTCCCCAGGAGGAGGAGGCACGGTTTCGGCCAACTCGTCATCATCTCCCCAGGTAGGGGTATGTGGCGAGTTCGGATTCTCGAATTCGCGGGGATCACCTTGCATATGCGGCTGCCAACTCTGCGGCATTGCGCCAGGCCACATTTGCGGCATCATGCCAGCCATGGGCTGTTGCATGTACCCTCCCATTGGGAAAGTGTCTCGATCTGGCGGATCCGCCACGACCGTACTGTCCGTGTTGGTAGCCGTATTGGCCACCCTTGCCTTTGTACTGATACCCTTGCCTGAAAACTGGTCACCTTTGTGACCCTTGCCTGAAAACTGGTCACCTTTGTGACCTTCACCCTTGGGCCAAGGGTACGCAGGGGCATTGCCCTTTCGTTGATCTCCCTTTTCCCTGTGGTCAGGTCGCGGGGTAGCTGACCGATGATCTCCCCTAGGAGTGGCTGCCCGCCTATGGTGCTTCCCAGACGGCGGGTCAGCAAAAACAATGGCGCTTTGGCCGTCGCGCTGTGCAGCGGGGACCATGTCAACCTTGTTATTTTCGACATAAATGTATGCCTCAGCATACTCAATCGGGGCCGTGATGGATCCACCACCGGCCCGCAGAGAGTCGATACTCAAATCGAGAACTGTGGAGGCATCAAAACTTGGGTCCTCACTATTGAAGTCCGAGAGGCGTCGCTCAGCCTGTACCAATGACATTATAATGTCCGCACGTGAGGCGCCTAGGCCATACAGTGGAACCAAATATCCGTCCTCAATCCCGATGCGGTAGGCATCAAAAATATGCACAG